TTTTATCGTTTGAGATAGGTGGGAATCCACAAACTTCAAATTCTGGATTCGTCTCTATACGTAGAAGGAATGACATAATAGGCTCATAAAAACAAAAATCATCATATCACCTTTAATATAATGATAAAAAATTACTCTTATTGGCTGAGATTAAATTTATCAGTTTAGCTTTTCATAACTATTAGAAGAGAGTCAAATTATGAATTGTTTAAAGTTTAATAAGCATAACGCAAGTGTCATGTCATGCTCCAAACCTCAGTGAGCCTGATCGACACCCGATGTTTTAACCTGACTGAGTGAATCAACCATATATATAAACTTATACCAGTATCACATATCTTAGGATTATGTGATAGTCATTTAGAATGTTACATGTTAGTTCACTCAGTCAAGTTAAGGCACTAAGTGTCAATCCGTCTAACCAGGTTAAGAGCATGACATGTCAAGATATTATTTTTCAGATTTTCAAATGAGAAGTAGGTATTGAAATTTTTTAATCCCGAGTTGCTTTTTCTGGTGAAGCATAAGCATGCTTGAACAGTTTTTTTTTAAAAATAGTTCTTCATATGTATATCAACATCAATTCGCAAATGAACAAATATAATCTGCATATAAAATTTCAAATTTACTATTATGTGTTGTACCATGTACTCTAGATAAGAACTCATTTAACAATTTAAATAAAAAGTATAAATTCTATCACCAATAGTTTAACAGAAATTGATATCATAGTACATGTTACTTTATAAATATAAGCTCTTAGACAGGAAAAAAAAATACCTGTCCAGGTAGTATTGAGCAAAATCCATAACAGTAAACCTTTACCGGAAGAAAAGAATTAGTGATTTACCACTTTTGTTGTGCACCTTTATATATATAGTACAAGAAAGATATAAAAGATTATATGTAAATACTACCCCGTACTACTAATTACATATGGAAGCTCAAAGGATAAAACGTATGAGGTTGAAATGTGAAAAGACTATGGTGTAAATAATGTAATTAAGAAAACTTTTACAATTGCTACATCTTTTAATAATTTCTGGCAGTTGAAATACCCTCTTTATTAATCAATTCAATGCACTTGAAATTAATATTTAATAAAAGATTTTTATGAAGGATAAACTGCATTTAATAAAAGGTTTTACTATTAATATTTATTATATTAGATGTTTTAATACATTTTAAGTTATATTAGAGGTAAAACTGTAATCTAACTTTAAAGATAGAAGCTTCCCATTTTTATTATAATATGATAATTACTAGATAGTATATTATATATGATATATTGAAGAACCACTCCACTAGCCATCTTATGAAAATTCAACCTTTGAACAAGACATAAACAAAGGGTCAACAAATCCATTACCATCTAATATTATACATCTCCTCCTTTGACTTTTTCATCCCTTTGCTGATATCTTTCAACAAGTGTCCCCTCCTGTGTCCTTCTCATTACGTAGGCAGTGGCCACTAATATTAGATGAGAAATAGCTGTCCATTGTTTGTTGCATACATAAAAATCATATTGTATATCTCGATTAACTTTATCGAATTACTATTATCTTTCAAGATAATTTTATCCATCAAAACATAAACAAATTTTAAAAAAACAACTTGATATTTTTCATCTCTACCGAGTGTTGAGTCCTAATCTCTATGGTTGGTTTAGTGATCAATAAATTAGTTAAAAATCGTAGAAAATTATATTTAAATCCCACAAGACTCCACCAGTAGAATTGTTTGATATCTGTGTTGAGGACTTGGATAGAATATAGAAAATAATATTTATTAGTAATATAGTTTAGTTGCGTACAAGTTGATACGGATATGGCCGGCAGTCCAGTGCACTAAACTATCGCTATGTGCGGGATTCGGAGAAAGGTCGGATCACACGAGTCTATTGTATGTAGTTTTATCTTGTATTTCTACAAGAAACTATTTCCACGACTTGAATTCGTAACCTCCTAATCACATGACAATAACTTTACCATTTAGGTAAGTATCCTTCCTAACGCAGATACCCATCATTTAAAAAAGACAAAGAGTAGGTGTGTACTGTTGCATCATTTAAGTTATTAAGCCTCTTCTACTTCTTACCAAAAAGTCCACAATCCTTCATTATTTTTCTTGTAGCAAGAATATGTCAATCCTAGGCGGCAGGGAAAACAGTAGCAAAATGTCTCAACCATATCTCTATGAATTCAAGAAACAAGCATCCTTCTTCCTCAAGGAGAAGATCAAGACAGCTAGATTAGCCTTGACTGATGTTACACCAGCTCAACTGTAAGTTCTCTACTTTGTACTATGATTTTAAAATTTTGACTTTCTGATCATTTGTAATTTTTGAGTAAATCATGCATAGTTCAGTTACTTTAGCGAGACAAAAAATAGTTTTTGCGACTTTACTGTTAGTGGATAAAGTTAGATACTAAGTTGAATAACTGATGATGTTGTTTGAAGATTGGCAGAAGAAGCTACAAATGGAAATCCAGGTGCACCAGACACAAGAACACTGAAAATGATATCAAAGGCAGCTTTTGAAGTTGATGATTACTGGAGAATTGTTGGGATCCTTCACAAAAAGTCTGTTTATTTATTCCTTTTATTTTTTATTTATTTATTTATTTATTTATATAAGGGCAGTCCGGTGCACTAAGCTCCCGCTATGCGTGTGGTCCGCGGAAGGGCCGTACCACAACGGTCTATTTTATGCTGCCTTATACCATGTATTTCTGCAAGAGGTTGTTCCCGCGGCTCGAACCCGTGACCTTTTGGTCACATGACAGTAACTATACCAGTTATGTCAAGGCTCGCCTTCTTATATATATAAAAAATTTAATTTTTTTCTTTTTGCAGTTTCTTGAATAATATTTTCAGGCTTGATGATGTTTTGATTGTTATTTTTATTTATGATATAGATTGTCAAGTTTTGATAGAAAGAATTGGAGGGTGTCATATAAGGCTGTGATTGTGCTAGAACATTTGTTGACTCATGGACCTGAAAGTGTTGCTGAGGAATTCCAAATTGACAAAGATGTTATCAAGGAAATGGGACACTTTCAACTCATTGATGAGAAAGGGTAATTTATTCTTTTGGAAAAGGTTCAAATTTACTAGAAAACCATACGAAATATCTAAATTTTACTTTTCGTTATACTTTAGGGTTATTCATACCCCTATCATTAGCAAATCGTTTCGTATTTATCCTTGACCTTGTGAAGCTACAGCATAGACTGTGTGGATTCCATGTGTCAAAATACTTCGGGAAAAAAGGTCGGAATTTACTCCTCTAGCTACTTTTGACTATGCTTTAAAATTTTCCTCCGTTACATGGCTAGGATCCACTTTGAAGTTCCATTAGGGTCAAGGTCAAGTACCAGATAATGCTAACGGCAAGGGTATGAATGTTTCCTAAACATAACATGCGATAAAATTAAGATACTTCGTACAATAAAGGGGTGCTTTTTACCATTTTACCTATTCTTTGTGGTTCTTTTTCTTGACGTAACTGGTAAAGTTGCTGCCATGTGACCAGGAGATTACGGGTTCGAACCGTGGAAACAATCTCTTGCAGAAATGCAAAGTAAAACTGCGTATGATAAACCCTTGTGGTCTGGCTCTTCTACAGACCCCACGCATAGCGCGAGCTTAGTACACCGGGCTGCTTTTTTTTTTTTTTTAATAATCTATATTTGGTAATACAAGTTAAGGTATTTTGAATGATTCTGCAGATTCAACTGGGGACTAAATGTTAGAAACAAATCAGAGAGGATATTGAAGCTGCTAGAAAATGGACAACTTCTTAAAGATGAGAGAAACACAGCCAGGAAAATATCAAGAGGAATTGAAGGTTTTGGGAGCTTCAACATTAGGATTAAGTCAGGGGAAGGAATTTTGGAGGAATCAGTAATCAAACCTTATGGAAGGTCTAATTCTCAGTTTAATGATCATGGAAATGAGGAAGATGAAAATTCAAACTTCAATACTCAAGATTTGATCAGCACAAAAATGGAGAAAGTGGAGGATGCTGCAGTTTCTTGGAATCTTGACACTAGTGATAAGTACTTAGTTTCTGGGATTTCTAGTATTAGTTTTAAAGAAAATATGGCTCCAAGTGAAGACATGCATAAGTGGAACTTCAAAGGAGAATCAAAATCACTTTTGGATGAACAAAAAACAGATCCAAGAATAGGTTTTTCCTCAGAAAAGGATCACCCTTTTACTGAAACCGACCGATTAACATCAGCCTCCCTACTTTCTTCTGGAGATCATGTCCTCCAAGAATGTCAATAGGGACGCTCTTGTTTTAATCGCTCTAATGCATATGCTAAATAGTTGTTTTATGCGTACATCTATCTATCAGGAGCAGTCGTGTGACTGATATATAGAGCTAAGAACATGCCGTTGGCTGTTCCCTTATACCACTACTACTAGATGTTTTGAGCTTCATTTTGTAACCTACAGGGTACAACAATGCAGAAATGCAACTGTACTGCTATTTCATGTTCATGAAATAATTGCAACTTTCTTGAAAGAGCTTAGTTAGTCATCGTTTGCAAAGTCAATGAGAAATAGCCGATATTTTAGGTGAAACACGGAAAGTTCCAGCACATTATGCTGGAATCTCATTTGTAAAAAGTCCGAATTCCTGCACAATATGCTGGAATTTTTCCGAATTTTTAAGAGTATTTTTGTTCAGATTTTATCTTACATGAAAAATAGCTAAATTTTAATTACTTTTGAAACTGTGGCTATTTTGTTCAATTGTAAATCTGGCTATTTTAATTATCCATCGCACGACAGGAAAAGGAAAAGAATAAGGCGTCTGATATTTTCATTACGTCCTCCTAATATTGGCCAACTGGGTTTTACTCTCTTGGAGATACCCTTCAATTGCAAAATCAACGATTTAAGAAATTATATTATCCCAATAGCACCTTTAAGAAATTGCATTCCTGTTGCTTCTACCTTCAGCAACATTTAGCATCTCAGGAAAATGGCAAATGAAACAACTCTTAAGTTATAGAGTACATAATATCAGTCTATATATATTTCATAATAACTACTACAGTGCTTCTGAGACAATTTCAATGTTCTCTAGACTGTTGTCAACAATATGTCTTTCCATTTTGTTGCATTAGAGATCTACGATATGCGGTCACTGTCTATACTTCTATGTTACCTTTGTATCCTAGGCTCCTAGAATACATACATTTGGATTTACAATAGTCTATGTTATTACTATGTGAGGAATTCTAAGTTGCATAGCCAATCCTGGATAGCAAGTCGCAAGGAATGATTAGGAGTTAGCTCCAAATGGCTTAGTTTCAAATTGGTCATTGGAGAAGTATCATGACCACTTTCCAGCCATCCTTGAATGGCCTCTCCTTCATATGTGAACCCGTCTGCAGCGATCTGAGGGTCAAGCATTATGTCCTGAAAGAAAATTCACAATGATTTGAGCGTTTTGCAGCAAACATTAAACCAAAGAAATTGTTTTTACCAACAAATCAGAGATGAATATATAAAAACAAGTACACCATAGAGGCTGACAGGCAATAGCAATAAACATACCACACTAGCTTGATCATCTTCAATTTAACTAGTGACTAAATTTGGGCATAAATTAACGTCGACAGACCTACGAAGTCATGCAAGTGGAACAGCTCAATGCATTAACCTCACTGCCTACGAGTAAGTTTTTTAATTCTGTCTTTTATTGGAAGGGGTGGCCTTGTAGGGTGAAGAGAAACGATAGAGCTGGATGTTGAACCTTGGACCTCTAAGATGCAGAATGAGAGCAGCATTATCAGTTTGCTCCTGTTCAATTCTTTTTTTATTATACATATACGATTATATCCAAATATAGAAAACTAAGTTAACTTATCATTATGTCTTGCTATCCTGCTCCCTAGAGGACCAAAATAGTTCATATGATTGAATAGTGCGGAAAGCATAACTTACCTGGCGAATTGGACATAAGAAAAAAGATGGCACTGATTGCTCTTCCAGTGCATGCAAGTTCTCTAGCTCCATCACAAGAGTCGGTGTCAGCTCAGGCCTATCCCTACTGTTAACTTCACAGCATTGCAAAGCCAGTTCTGCTAATCTCCTTGACACAAATGTAGACCATTCTCCAGCAGATGAATCCAAAAGAGACTCTAATTCTGCACACGAGACTGCCCTGCGTACTTCACTCAGTAATCCTGCTAGAGTTCTTCCAGTGAGTATTTGAAGGATAATTAGTCCAAATGAGTAAATGTCCGACTTAGTTGTCAGTGCTCCGGTTATATGAAATTCAGGATCAGTGTAGGAAAAGAGACCCTTTGGTTCACTCTGACGACCAAAACTTGGGCAACGCAGGGTTTGCTGAGGAATCAGGCTAGATATCCCGGTATCACATATTTTACAGCTGTCTGTTGAATCAAGGAGCATATTCTCAGGCCTCAGATCCCCATGTACAATCTGTTCAGGGTAGGAAGAGTGCAAAAACAGAAGAGCACTTGCAATTTCAGCAATAATTCGTGCTCGCATCTTCCAATTCATGGGACTAACGTTATTTTTGCAAAATAGGCGGTCTTGGACGCTCCGACCAGGTATATATTCATAAACAAGGCACCAGGCTTCTGGACATACACCAAGTAAAGTGACCAGTTGAGGATGCCGTAACTTAGCTAGAATTTCCACCTGCATATGGAAAAGATAATTATATGAGCAAGCACATAAAAATCATAGAATTTGTTGGCAGAGAAAATTATGAGGTTCCATTTTAGCTTATGATGAGTGACCAAACTCGATTCAAGGAAATGTCCATGCACTTTAGTTGGATGATATTAAGGAAAATCACATGCTAGACATTATGAGACCAATTGATTTATATAGCTAAAAGGGAACTCTGAAATAAAGAAATTTAGAGTGGAATTCCAGATCCTATCTAAATGCAGTTTGTGAATATAAAGGAGATTTTTGACCTGTTCAAAAAACTGTGACTGCTGTTGCATATTATGTGGATGCAATTGCTTAATAACAACTGTTTTATCTGACAGTTCTCCTTTGAACACATCAGCATATCCTCCTTGACCAATCCTAAAGCTCTCAGAAAAGTTGCATGTTGCTGTCTGCAAATCGGACAGTGAAAATTCCAACAACTCAGGTGATGCAGAGCACTCGCCACTTGCACTTAGTCCTCCATCTTTTCTGCGATTCTTCCACCGATTAATCCAGTTCATGGCTTCAGTATTTTGCTGCATAAGTTTGCGCTTCTCCTGCCGGAGAGTTGCTATGGAGGAATGAATAAACGTCAATTCTTCAGCAATCTCTTCACACCGCTGATTGGCCTCCTGTGCACGACTATCTAGGAGGGCTATATTTCTCATGGCCTTGCGCAGCTCACTAGTTTTCTCCTCTCTCTCCTTCAAGAGTTTTTCTTTTTCCAGCAATAAATTTTTCAAAGCATCCTCAGCTTCCTTCCTCAGTTTAACTTCATGCGCACGAGCAGATTCAAATGCTTTTACCTATAACAAAGCAAACATTCTGACATTAGCAGCCTAAGAAGTGCTTTCAGTCCATTATGTTACAAAAAGGAGAAATGACATTACTAGCCACATACAATTCCTCTTACACTGATACTTTGTGCTCTAAATAAAATTACATACTGGCTCTAGGAGTGACTACTCTTGTAATACAAATGTACTTGTAGTAGCAAATTAGTTGGTCGCAAACGTAGAGTATAGTAGTTCTATAAGTGATGCAGTAATGGACAGAATGCAACTTCAAAATTTTAAGCTTGGGTAAGCGCATAGTGGGTCTACGGGTAAATTAGACATGATCACTTTGGTCCACAAGTGAATGTGAAGCCAGAATATAAGAAAAGCTAATAACTGTAATTAGCTTCATAGCGCTCTATAGGTAGCATGTTTGTGATATCTAGCAGCAACCAAATTTAGCATGCATCAATATAGTTCTTCTTCAAAAGATTAAGTAATGGATTGATCTCTAGAGCAATAAGAATACGAGCTCCTTAATTGGAATACAAAGACTTGCAGTTACCTTTCTCATGGCTTCCACAGCTTCCGCTTCCAGTTTTTTGCGCTTAAGCATCTCTGCAATAGCTACATTCCTTGATGATTCATATTCTATGCTGACTTCTTCAAGCTGTTTGTATAAACTTTCCATCTCGACATCAGGGGACTCCATTTGTTCACCAGAAGAAGCACAACTGCTATCAGTGCTAGGGCTTGTTGAAATAGATAAACTAGGGAAACTGGTTGGATTGTTTCTGCTAGTAGAAGAAAAGTTCTTGGGCCATAAACTAGTATCTGATGAAATACCCTCCTCAAATATTAAACTTTTGATTCCAGATGACAGTAGGTCCCTAGACGAGCTTGACCGAGCACGTTCTGGCGAGAGGATAACCTCCCTCTTGCAGGACTTTAGAGACCGAGATCTTAAACCGCATGCATCAGCTATCACTGCTCGAGTATTAGCAGAAATAGGTCCAATGAAGCTTGAGCAATCAGGAGGCTGTCTAGTCCAGACTAGTTTCCCTTTGTAGACAAAGAATATTTCACAGAATGAAGGGAAATTTGCAGCAGCATAACTTGCTTTCTGGGAGCTTTTCTTGACCTTCACACAACTGTATATAACTGGTAAGCTCGGGTATAATGGACAAGATCCATATGATGCAAAATTCAGAAAGATGCAAACTGCAGAAACTGTTATACATTCTATTCCAGTAAATACTGGTGAAGCAAAAAGAAAAGGTGAAAGAAAAGATCCACACAGACAATACCAACTAGATGGCATAAGGCTCTTTCATGTTAAACCCTTACATTAAGTTCAGTTTTTAGCAAGAATTTTTTCATCTTTGTTTAAAGATTTGTATGTTACTATAAAAAGAAGACAGATTGAGAGAACCTTAGTTTAGAGAACAATTGATTTGTACTAAAAGACATATTGTTATATGTTGGAATGAACTTGACAAGAGGGGTTGCTCTGATGGTAAGCAACCTCCACTTCCAACCAAGAGGTTGTGTGTTCGAGTCACCCCAAGAGCAAGGTGGGGAGTTCTTGGAGGGAAGGATGCCGAGGGTCTATTGGAAACAGCCTCTCTACCTCATGGTAGGGGTAAGGTCTGCGTACACATTACCCTCCCCAGACCCCACTAGTGGGATTATACTGGGTTGTTGTTGTTGGAATGAACTTGAAGTGGTCCTGAACAGAGCAGATGGAAATTGAGGATTCATATAACCGACCCTACTAGTTCAGGGTTGACGCGTTGCTATCGTCGTCATCGTTATAAAACAGGTGAAGCAATTTTTTTGGATATAGCTTCTATCGTGAACTTCCCCAGTTCTACAGGCAACGACAACCACTCCAGATTTCTAGACCTATTAATTCGACCTCTATTCCCAGTTCTCCTATAGTGAAAAAAATGACCAGCCTACTAGTGCTTTCTGTGAGAAATCTTAGTACATGATCTGTTCTCATTGGACAAAGTTCCCGGTACAATACATATATGGGTGGGAGGTAGAGGTACCCAATGGATTAGTTGAGACGCACGCAAACTGGCCCGGACATTGCCGTTATTTTTATAATAAAAAAAAAATTATTTTCTTTCGCTAATTGGGTCGCTCAGGAAAAATGATATCAAGTTTACCAAAAGAATTTACAACTTTCCATTAAGATCCTAGGCACACAAACACAACCACGTGAATTGAGACTTAGTGTCCAGAAGTCTTTTTCGAAAAGACAAAGCTCCTAAAATTTGAATCATATAACATAATTCAGAATTCACAAGTGCAATCATAATCTACACCAGTTAAAACAGTTAACTCGCACTTGAAAGTAAATTAAATGAAGAAAAGCTGAAGACCTACTCTGGTATAGCCCCAATTATAAGCTTCCTGATGTTATGTTTGTTCACAAAATCAAGAATTCCTTTAAGGACAAAATGTGCTTCAACTATAGCAACACTTGCTTTAACCTGAAAAAGATTAAAGATTTCTTCGGTAAGTGACTGCATAGGTAGCATGATACAAGGTAAATATTCAAATCATTGGCATTACATATGCATCATTAATTTTGAAATGATAAGCGGGATTTTACAGTACATTGATCATGATATTGTGAAAACACTAGTGTCACAGAGGTAACAAATACCTAGACATGTTCCTGAATGTAGTATAGCAGCAATAGAATGTCAAATCTAGGGACATACCATCACAACAGAGACTAACAAAATTATAAGACAAACATTGGTTAAAGTGTAGCAAGGAAGGACAACGTGAAAGTATTAGAAAAATAATTTAATACAAGGGACTTCTATTCTTTGTTTTGGATGTAACAGAAGACATTAAAAAGTAGAAAAGGGAGAAAAGAAAAGAATACGTTTTGGGGTTTAACCAATTCAAGCTTTCAAGCAGTGAAATGGAATGAACCAATGCTTTTGTCATGTTGACTCTTTTCCACGCATTGATAGCTTAAATAATGCGCTATTACAAAGATGAAAAAGAGGGGTGGGGAAGAATAAAAGGAGTTGACTTTTAAAGGGATAGGAGGGTGGAGAGACAGCAGATGAAGAATACTTAGAGAAGAGAGGAGCGATCTCGAGCACCCAAGGGCGTGACCTAGTGATCGATGAAGTGGTGGAGAATCATGAGGTCTCAGGTTCAATCCCAGCGAATACGAAGAAAAAAAAAACTAGGTGATTTCTTCCTATCTGCCTAAAGGCATAGTTGAGATACCTATGCTGGTGGAAGGTAACAGGTACTCGGTGGAATAGTCTAGGCACACATAAGCTGGCCTGGACACCACCCCCACCCAAAAAAAAAAAAAAAAAAAAAGAGGGG